TTGTTCATTCCATGCTCTAAATGGATATTGTCTCATATTCATGCAGCCCCCCGGAAAAAACCAACTGAGTTGGGAAACCAGAATACAGATTGCCATCGATGTGGCTAATGCTTTGGTAATAGCTGTTTTCCAAATTTGCAGTTTGTTTATGCGAAATTATCATCTCATTCCTCATACACGGTCTGTATATACAGGAGTACCTTCATTTTTATTGTGATCCACCTCTTTGCCACAGGGACATCAAATCAAGCAACATTTTGTTGGATAAGAATTTTGTTGCAAAGGTATCGTGTCTATCAAATTGTCAAGAGCATTTCGTTTTTCTCTCTTCATATACATATGTTTGGATAAAAAACGAAAAGGGTACAAACAGGTACTGAAAAAATTCAGGAATAAACCTCTCCATATAAGAACTTGTTTTCCTATAAAAGCATCAAAGAACATTGCTTTTAAACAATTTGTGCTTTCTGCATAAGTGTATCCTATAGGTTGCAGATTTTGGCTTTGTGCATGCTTCAAAAAATGGTTCTATTTGCTTCGAACCGGTAAATACTGACATCCATGGAACTCCAGGTTAGCCATCATTGGAAGGTTAAAAAAATTTCTCATTGCTGTACTAAAGATCTAAACATTAAATAATTTTCAGGTTATATGGATCCCGAGTATGTGGTCACTCAGGAGTTCACAGATAAAAGTGACGTGTATAGCTACGGGGTGCTACTTTTGGAGATGGTGACTGCAAGACGAGCCGTACAAGATGGTGTGAATCTGGTAGAATCAACCCAAATACTGTTGGCATCAGAGTCGAGGCTAATTGAGCTTGTAGACCCCAGTATCAAGGACTCCTTTGGCTTAGACCAACTTCAGACGGTTGTGACCATTGTGAGATGGTGCACCCTGAGAGAAGATCGAGCTAGACCTTCGATTAAACAGGTCCTCCAGCTCTTGTATTAGAGTTCAGATCCAATGCAAAGTGGGTTTATACAGGCCGTTGAAGATGAAGATTATGAAGGTAGTGATGGAAGAGGACGGATAAGCGGAGGGAATATTCCTAAGAGTGAACCACTTTTTCACAGCGGGGATGGAAGATATCTGGCTTCATCTTCGAGTACATCGAGGTCATACTGTCGTTGAAGCTTTTTACTAGAAACCAGCTCACCGCGATCTCCTCAAAACGTACTCTCCCTTTGAGGTCAATCCATGAACTAGCAGGTATGCATTGTCTTTGTTATGCAATACCATCAAGCTTGTGACTTGTACAAAAGTGGAGGGAAGGGGGCTCTAAAAGGTGGGATCTTTTTTGGATAACTGAGACATAAATGTAAATTTTGCTTGTGCCCTTGGATTGTGATATTGCAGCTAGTCATCAAGATTGTCCTTTACAGGTTCAGAAACTAAGAGAGATGCCTTGGTGCAATCAATTCCATTGAAAAGTAAATCATTTGTGTTCTTTTGCCATCAGAATAAAGTAGCCAACATCAGAGCAGAAAAAAGAATGAAGCAATATATATAATATATCCTCTAGCAACGTACTGCATAGAGAAATTTCCTCTTGCTTACTGGTTCTTCGTGCAAGATCACAACACCTCTCACCTTGTCAAACAACTCCTCAAGCTTCTCCATGCCGAACTTTCGACATTTTCTTGTATCGTTGTTGGTAAATTTCTTCAAAGCAACACAGAAAATTCTGCAAGAGTAACAAGAATTCAACTCATATTTAAACTGCTCAAGATTAGAATCCATTGGGTAGTCTTAGTGGTAAAAGAGAATTATGTTTTTTCTAGAAGTCTCGATTCGAACAACTGCATTCTTTATCTAAAGTAATTATGGAGTAGACTCTATTTATGATCTTTAGTTAGAGTTCCGATCCTATCGTGTTCAGTATTTTGTTCTATTAAGTTTGAATAAATGGATGTCTCTTATTTTCATATGTAATGGGGTAAGGGGAGGTAAGATAGTAGGCTGCCCCCAACATTAAATTGAGAACAGCTTTCGTAGGAGATCTCCAAATTATGAAATGCCCTCTATGGGATTCGATCTCACGACCTCAAGGATAAAAACTTTGTACTCTACCAACTGAGCTGGATGGTCATTTCGTTCTATTAAGTTTGACAATTGGAATAATACAAAACGACGCCGTTGGGATTTGGATAAGATAAAAAGCTTAAAAAATGTTCTTCGGTTTCAAGTTTCGCAAGCTGCTGGAGAAGTAATTCGATTTACACACTCCAAGGTTGCGAGAAATGGAGAGTTTGTCGTGCCAGAAGCTCCGACGAGGTTATTATCCCCCAGGATTCCTCAAATGCCAGCTTCTCGCTCTGCTGCGTTTCTTTCTAGCTTTGTATTTCTTTCTTCCCAGGACTATAAGTTTCCAAGAACAACTGCTTCACTGGCTTTAAAACCCACCAAATCGTCGGCTTCAACAGTTCGGACAACCCCATCAACAACGACCACAGTTACAAGCACAGACACCGCCTGTACCAAAAAGGTGTCTCCTTTCTTAACCCCCCCTTTCTTTTATTCAAGTGCTTCATTTTATGTTTGCAATTGATTTGTATCTCAAAATATGGAAAACCCTTTTCACAGTTTGACTAGAGATTCATAGAGTGGGAAACCCTTAGTTTACTTTGTTGAGCACTTAGTTTAATGGGGTTTAACTACTTTTTATAGTTTTGATGTAAGAGTTCAAAATTTTGATTGTTGTTGTTGTTTATGTGGATGGTTAGGTTTTGATTCCAATAGGATTTGGTACTGAGGAAATGGAAGCTGTTATATTGGTTGATGTTCTGCGTCGTGCCGGGGCAGAGGTTAGCCTCAGGGGAACCGCGGCTTGAGATTCAAGCATCGGGAGGCACCAGATTGGTTGCTGATACCGCAATCTCCACTTGTTCTGATCGAGTTTTTGATCTAGTAGTATTGCCCCTTAGTTCTACAAATCTTTGGTTTTCTTATTAGTTTAAGATACATGTCACCATGACTGCATATTCCTAGGTTTATGTTTTGGAAATTCGAGACTCTCCCAGAGGAAACGACCCACATGACATATGGGATTCATCCTGCTCATTCTCTTTTGGAGAATAAGGCTACATTATACTGATTTGGTAAATTGTTTGTACTATATAGTTCATGTAGCAATTAAAGTTTGCATACTGTTTGAAGGGAGGAATGCCTGGATCAGCACGACTAAAAGATTGTGAGATTCTTAAGAAAATTACAAGCAAACAAGCCGAGGAAAAGAGCCTCTATGGAGGTATATCTACTGCTCTGGCAGTCATACTTCTCCCTTGGGGACTCTTGAGAAGGAAGAGGGTGAGTACCGGTTTATATTAGAATTTTTGTTTCCTATCTATGTATTTTGATTTCTAAATTTGATGTAGTTTTCTATGCAAGACAACTTGCCACCCTGCATTCTTTGATCGGCTTCCGACCTTCTATGCTGTCAAATCAAATCTTAAAGTTTCAGGAGAGCTTACTACAAGCCAGGGCCCAGGAACTTCTTTCATGTTTGCTCTGGCCTTGGTAGAACAGCTTTTCGGGGAGTTTGTGGCCAAGGAGATTGGAGAATTATTGGTATATCGGTCTATTCTGGTGTTTTCAAAAGCCTATTTATGGTAGTTCGCTGTTTCTTGTTCGATCCATGCATCCTGTATCCACCATGATACGCCATCTCAAAAAGTTTCCGGCAATGAGTTATTGACTGCAACTTTGTAAGCATGCATTTAACTCTATATGATTACTGTTTTCCAGTTCATGCATTCTGACGATGATAAGCCGAGAATGGAAGAGTTCAACAAAGTTGACTGGGCTGTTGGTCACACTCCTCACGTGAGTTATTACATGCTTTAGTTGTTTACTTTCTATGTCAATAGTCTGGCTTTTCTTGCAACAATTTATTGTGTGTTTTATTACAAGTTCAATGCAGAATCTTTTGTTTCAGCCATTTTTTCTTCCTCCACATGCCTTTTATTGTTGAAATGTTTTCGGCAGGTTCTGGTTCCTGTTGCAAATGGCTCAGAGGAGACTGAAGTAGTTACCGTTGTTGACATTCTACATCGTGCAAAGGTGGATGTTGTGGTTGCTTAAGTTGAAAAATCGGTTTGTTTTGGCATCTCAGGGTGTAAAAGTCGTAGCTGACAAACTAATTGGTGATGCCGCAGAGTCTATATATGATTTAATCATACTTCCAGTAAGACAAAACAAAGCTTTTTTAATACAAATAATTTTAGATGCATTCTGTTACACCATGTTACCATTTAATCATACTTGCAGAGAGGAGTTACTGGTACCGAACAGCTACAAAAATCTAGGATTCTCAAGAAGTTGCTGAAAGAACAAGATGCAGCTGGAAGAATATACGGAGCCGTTTGCTCTTCTCCCACAGTCCTGCATAAGTATGGACTGCTGAAGGTAGAGTCTCAAGACTGGAAATAAATTATTTGACATTTATATTGATTATCATTCAGCAACACCGATAACCTCAGATGAATGCAGGAGAAAAAAGCCACTCTCATCCCTGTGCCATTACGGAACTCACCAATGCAGTAGAGGGTCCCAAAGTAGTTATCGATGGTAAACTGATTACAAGCAGGGGACTTGCTACTGTTCGGATTTCGCACTCGCTATTGTCAGCAAGTTTTTTGGGCATGCAAGGGCTAGAAGTGTCGCAGAAGGTCTTGTTTTTGAGTACCCCAGGAGTTTAAAGATCTAATTTAGATAAATGGCAATTTTTCCAGATGCCATAAGTTTATATAATCCCTCCAACGGAACATCTAATGGAAGGAGAAAACCATCAAATCAGAAAAAAAAAAGCCCCAACTGAATCAAAATTAGGAAGTGGATAAGATATCCATTCCGGTGGGATAAATGACTTTGATGGATGAGACTTGGGAATATTTCCCTCTGTTTGAAAGTTCTATGGATTGTAGAGTTCAAATCTATGATTGCAATGAATCAACCAGATTATATTCAGATTCTTGAAAGCTAAATTGTTTATTCTTACGGCTGTTCTACAAACAAGAAACCCAGAATCAAAATCTATAGCTTGTTTCTTACAACATGCAAACACATAAATTACATTTACAAGCATTGGGGTAGAGTGTACATAAAGGTATAGGAGCATCCATCTATCCTACAAGCCTGCCCTTGTTGTTAAAGTTAAGTCGAGATCGACAAACAGAGATCAAATCCACCAAGTGAAACTAAATCAAGTTCATAACTTGAAATTCAAAACCCTTTGTACCTATATTTACAGCTGTCTAGCTCCTATGCAGTATTATCAAGATAATAGAAAATAGACACAGGCAGCAATTGTTAGACCATATCTGGCTAAGATTGTGCATCAAAGAAACAATTCTACCATCAGCAGTTCGTCAACTCTACCAAGGGCCTGTCAGTGTTCTTCTCAAGCATTGTCTTCTACCTCCCCATGATTGGTTCAGTTTTTCTAGCATCTGTTCAAACAAGACAACCGAGGGTGGACTATCAGCATTATAGTTTAATAATGAGGCTAGCAAACAGAATGGTAAACCTCTTCCCACTGGACTTGGTGAAATTTTTAATAGTAAGGGATTGTTTGTTTGTCTCTTAATAGATTCATTCAGCGTTGAATGTTAAATCGTTCAGCATTCAACACGTTTGTTTCGTACCTCTGAATGATTCAATGCTGACTAATTCAATAAAACAGTGCTGACTGATTCAGCACAAAAGTACATTCTAAATGATTCAAAGTCATTATCAAACAGTATGTCACATTTAGAGCTAATTCATACAGAGCTTCTGAATCATTCAGCATTTGAATAATTTAACGCTTAATCATTTTGAAGTAAACAAACAACCCCTAAATTTACAACTCATCATTGACTCTTTAATCCAATAATGGGTCAGGAAAAAATGTATGTTAACACATTCTTTATGTGGCGACAAATTGGTTCTAATTATCTTTTCATCTAAGCACGCTGAAAAAATCTAGTTTCCATATCCATTTATAAGGAAGAAAACGTCTATATTTTTAATCTCATAATGATAAAATACAGAGTGTGGTATTCTTCACCATGTTAAATGCAGTGCATGAGAGGAACATCTAAAAACAAGGAACAACAATTAAAATCCATAAGAAAACACGTGTTTTCTAAATTTGTTAGGCTCTGGAACCCATCTAAAAGCTAGTTTCCTGTATAGGATTATAAGAATGTATAATATAAATGCAATGTGGAAGCGCTGGAAATGTGCATTACCTTATTTTTCTGCATTTCCATAACTTCTTCCTGCACCAACCAAAACACAGTGAAGGAGGTCAATTCACCCAACCTTAAAAAATATAAAGAATCTTTAGTCCGGATACATTACATACCTGTTTCCTCTGCAATTCTTGGTTCATTTCTTTAAGTTTTGCAACTTCAGCTTCAAGCTCCATTGTATAAGCCTGCCAGTAGCTCAGAACAGTTAATACAATCAGTTGGTTTTATACTCGGAGTGGAAGAACTCGACTTAGATCTCAGTCTGTAATTTAACTTTTGAAATTATAGACATCATCTTAACGACACATTTTTATACATAATCACTGATCTTGAGAGTAAACAGGTTTGGTTAGATTTTATTACACATCTCACCGTCACATTGTGTAGTCTCTACAGGAATATCAAGTAGAACTGAACTCAGGCAAAAACATTTCATACTGATACAAACAGAATACCCTCACCAAAAACAGTGCATTGGACTAGACCTTTTTCTTCCTATTGACACAAACAGTTGCAGCAACCTTTCTTCTTATGTAGAATGCAGTAGCTCTTTACTGGCAATGCATTTGATGTGTTAACCAGAAACCATAACAATCCACTATTTTCACATAACCAACATACATAAATGAGATAGAAATCTAAAGGTGAAACAAAATACAATCTGATAACTAAGCAAGATGGAAAACAGTGTAGTGGCTCTATCACCCAACTAACCTGTTTGCGAGCTCGTGATCTAGACGCTGACTCTCTGTTCTTAATCATTCTCCTTTGCCTCCTCTCAACTACTTTCTCCAAAGCTGCACTGCGTTTTCTTCCCCGGCCAAATGCATAAGGAACCGGTGATAAAGAAGAGTTATCTATGCTGTTGTTTGAAATCACATCTGAAGATATATGGTTTGCAGGAGATGCTAAACCAGCTATTCCCATCCCACCACTCTGCAGCCCAGTAGATTGAACTAGATTAGTATTCATTGCTACCGAACCCCGAGCTCCAGGGCTAGCAAACCGTGTGGTGTTTATCAAGTGCATAGATGGACCAAATGCAACTGTTTGTTGCTTGGGAAAGATCGGCTGTTGTTGTTTTTGCTGCTGCTGCGGTTGTGATGATTTGGCTACACTCATGTCTAATGGTAGCCTTGGAGGCTGACTAAGAACTGAGCTATTGTTACTCAAAAAACCATTGTTTCCATTAGTTTGTTGAAATCCAAGTACTAGACCAGAGTTGTTATCAAAGAATCCAGTGTTATTTGGCATTCCAACCTGTTGGATATCTTCTCTTACTACACCTGCCCTCGCCAAGAACTCCTCCAAAGTTATCTCTCCCAATGTCGGTTGCTTTTGTGGCAAATTCGCTCCACCAACAACAGCACCACCCCCATTACTTACATTTTTAGTACCATCGTTTTCCTTAAATAAGTCTTTCCATACTTCTTCAACTGTTTTCTGACTCAGAGTCCTCGGCAATGTCAATGAACCTTGCCTCTGCAAATTACCACCAGAAACACCATCTTCTCCTCCTGGAACTGAAGCTGTCATCACAGCCTGAGTCTCTCCAGCAGTAGATATGTTTCTCAAGAGTTCATCCATGTTCATCGATCCAAAGTCCTTGCCGAGACAACCGAATGTGTTCTGCAGCTCTTCGAAGGTCAACGAGTATATTGATGACTGCCTACCCAATAGGAAACTGTCCATTGCCTTTGATCCATTCCCTTCCATACTTGGAGCTTCACCAAAGTTCTTGAAATTCAGATTAGATCCCATTTCTTGTATTGAACAGAAGCAAACACAAATGGACTCTATTCAAATGCCCCTATAAATCCAAGGTAGATGAGATGTTCATATCATTCACTTTCCCTTTCATATAACTTTTTCTTCAAACCAAGAAAAGTGTACGTTAATTATACGCTCTAGCCAATAACGATAAAAACGTTCATGTCAAATCTCGAAATTTAAAGATTCTCCAACAAATAGTACAAAACATACAACCATACACATAACCAACCAACAGGCAAAACGCTAAAAAAAATGCAACCGGAAATATTAATATTTTTTTATCGTTTCCGGTAAAACGCTACCTAATAGGTTAATATTTTAACGTTTCCGATTGCAACCAAAAAATATTACTTTCTCCTTAACATTTCCGATTGAAGCCGAAAAAGTTAAAATATTAACGAAATTAACATTTTAAGTAAACCTCTACCGGAAATGTTAAAAAATATTAACATTTCCTTAGCCTTATATTAGGCTGCTGCCTTTCTTTAGAGATTCCCAACCAGCAAATACATCAAAATTATGCCGATAATAAGGAAAAAGATGAAACTATTCTTTGTAATTTTATTTCACAATACAGAAAACAGATCCAAAAACTCTTCGTAATTTTATTTCATAATCCAAAACCCAGATCCAAAAACTAAAGAGTAAAAGAAATTGCATCTAGAAATTAATTAACAGCTAACGAGCATCAAACTGCCAGTATTAAGACTACTAGTAAACAACAAAACAATTGAAGCTTCAGCAAAATCTAAAGCCAACCCATTATTCCAAATCATAGAACCTATCAACACCATGTAAACATCAAGAAAAAAATCAACTGAAAAAGAAGAAAAAACAAATAATTCCATCATAGAACAGACATATAATCAGCTAAACGAACTACAAGTGCAAACATATCTTCCTTAATCCATTTAAAAAAATTATCAATAAATAAGATAAATTAAAAAATAAGAAAATGACAAAAAAATAATAAAATGAAACAGGAGAGGGAGAGAGTAAAGAAGAGTCAAAGAAAGAGACGCTCCTACTGTATTCACCTGTAAAAAATTATTTTTGCTAGTATTTAATTTTTGATTAAAAAACCAAAAATTAAAAATAGAAATTCCTGAAAATCGAGAGAGAATTGCTGAAGCGAAACGGGGAGACTTCAACTGTATGGAGGCGACAAGTGTCTACTTCGGCCTCTACATGGATCGATATTTAAGGAGCCTTCCAGGTTTTGATGGATATAATTGTAATTTCACGTTTTTATGATATTTATTAGCCGTGGATATTGCGCAAAGTGGACCAATAATCATTGAGCTTGAAAATTTGATGTGATACTTGACCAATGAATAATAGAAACATGGAAGGTTTAGGACCGTCAGATCACCTGTCGTACAAGCTGATCGGATGGTAGATGTTTGGAGTTGTACTACTTGATAACTTTATTCTCATTTTTTTCATGCCTTTCAAATTATTTTACATTTTAGAGTCCGTTTAATTGATCATAAATGATTTTTTTTAATAATTTACTTAAAATGAATTATTTAAAAATTGTTTACGTTTAATAAACTATTTAAAAAATATTTTACGTATAATGAATTATATTTTCTAAAAAAATGATTTTTGAAAAGTTATTTTACACATTTCGAAGATATTGTATGAACCATTTTTTTTATTGTTTGATGCATTATAATTAATTTTATGAAAAATGTTTTACGTTAATTGATTTACGCAAAATGAATTATTAGAAAACAGTTCTCAGAAAATATTTTACGTTGTTTAGATGATGTTATGTAAACCATTTCTAGTTGATAAATTTTCATATTATGAATATCAAATATAATAAATAATTATTTTATTATCACTGAGGACCTCAAGAAATTAAAATAATTTCTTTATCACCGAACTCACTTAATTCATATAATATTATATTAATATTAAATATATATATAAAATAATATTACTCATTATTAACAATTTGATAATATTATTTTATAAACATAATAAATTATATTAATTATATTAATAATGTATTATATATTATTAAATTTAAAATATAATTATCATATGTTATTATAATATAACTAAGTATATATTAATATAATATTATAATTATATATATATTAAATATTTTAATAATTAATTTTTCATTAAAATGATATTAAATAAATAAAATAATACTATTTTGAGTGTTTATATTTTGGAGTGAAAATTAGGAAAATGTTTTACAGAAAATCATATAGTAAAACATTTTACCGAACATACAGAGGAACTAGGAAAATGAATTGCATTGAGAAAAACCAATTACAACTATCAAACACTGAAATATATTTCCCATAAAACTAATTACAACTATCAAACACCGGAAAACAAGGAAAACATGTTGGATTAAAATCCATAAGTATTGACACATATTTATAATGTATATTATTATCATAAAATATGACATAAATTAAGTAATCAATTATGTTATAAAATCATAAGGTATTAAAGTTGTATTTATAATTCGATGAGGGTTTGAGTTATAAGTACATACAGTAATTGATTCTTGATTCAGTTATATAAAGGGTTATAGTTTTCAATAAATAAATAATATTGTATTTACATCCCGTCATAGAGTTTATATTTAAGAGAACTCTATCTTCTTTGAAGATCACAATCAAATAAAGACTTAAAGAGTTCAGTCTATCAATTAATCCAGGTATGGATGTTCATGGACGGTTAATCGTACCGTTTAGCCTACAAGGTATGGACGGTTCATGGACGGTTAATCGTAACATAACTATTAGTGGTTAACTGCTATTAACATTTCAATTACATGTTAACATATTACAATTATTTGTCAAAAAATATTTATAATTTATACTCTAAAAAAATGTATAAGTTAAAACATATTTATTAGGGATGGCAATGGGTCGGGTCGGGTCGGGTTTTTGGGCCACCCGACCCGACCCGAGAAGAAAGGGTTCTCCACCCGTGACCCGACCCGACCCGACAAAATTAATGTTTCACCCGACCCGACCTGACCCGAATATATGACTTAGAAACCCGACCCGACCCGAAATAAAAAAAAAATTTAATTCAATGAAAACAGTGACTTAATTGAAAAAAATTATATATGGAGGGATATTATTGTAATTATCCCTAAATATATAAGATAAAATTATATATATTTTTCAGGTCGGGTCAGATTTTTTTTACCCTAAACCCGACCCGATTCGACCCGAATAGTGCATTTAAAAAAAAACCCGACCCGAACCCGAATTTTTTTTAAAAAAATCCGACCCGATCGGGTCGGATCGGGTCGGAACCCGTCGAATTCGGGTTGAGTTGCCATCCCTAATATTTATACCAATGTAAGTGAATAAAATAAAATAAAAAGTGACATCATCGTCATCGTGTCGAATCATTAAGAATTATTTAATTAAACTGTTATCTTTTACTTTGATATTTCGCTTAAGGGAAACATTATTAATTCTTATTATGTTCGTTTTGATGGAGTTAAAAAAAAGGGTTCTATAAAAGTTTAGCCTTATTAGTATTTTTTTTAATTACTAATAATAATGACTTGTAATTGAGAGTAGTAAGGCCAATTATAATTCTGCTTTGACAGATTCTTTATAGTAACATGCTTTGATTAAAAACAATATTTTAATAATAAAACCCTTTTTAATAATGAAAATATGATTTGCCTATTTGTTTTATATATCCATCTATTGCTTCATAATTTGTTCAGTATATCATGTTTTTAATTATTATTATTTTTTGAATTCACCAAAATTCATAAATATTTTGATTATTTAGATTATTCAAAATGTGCTTATATCATTAATCTCAATTGATACATGTTTTTGTGTTTGGTTTGAGCACTGTTATTGGGAAAAGTAAGTTCTAGTGTGTTTGGTTAGAGCACTAGGATGGGGTAGGCTAAAGCCTAATTTTAACATGTATTAATTTTGCTTATGAGTATTTTATGATACATATTTAATTTGATTGAATTTATTCCGTTGTAAATTCAATTTGATTTTAGTTTCTTGTATCGTGTTTTGATTAATTTGGTGAATCAATGATTAAATTTTTTTGAGAAATAGTTAAATGTTTAGGTTTTCAGTTTCTACTAACGTCGTTTAGATAACTTTATTATGGGTTAATTCGAAAATGATGAAGTGATTAGAAAATTCAGTTTCGATTTTTTATTGTTATGGATTATAGAATATATATTTAGTATTTATATATTCGATTCAGTGATTAAAGATTTAATTTATTAGTATGTACTCTTGATTTTGACTTTTGTTTAAATATTTATTTATTTTTGGGTGATTTATGAAGTTATGAATTAAATGCATGCTTAAGAAATTCTTCAGAAACAATCAAAGACTAAAGTTTCTGGTTTTTGATAGCACCATTTATATAACATTGTTTTGGGTTATTTCGAATATTATAGTGCAATCAGAAATTTCAGTTTTGATCTCTGATTGTAATAGAAATATTAAATTTGACCAATAATTCCAATATGACTTAAGTAAAGCAATAAATCATTAAAGTGATATCAATTATAGAAAATATTTTATTTTTAAATATAAAGGTTATGTATATGTAACTTAGCATATATTAGTATTGATCAATCCAAAGGAAAATTAATAATTGACATAATCGTATGTACAACTTTGGTAAGAAGCATATGATAATTATTTGGTTTGATGTGTGAGTAATAAATCGGCTCAAAGGAAATTTTTGCTTAACATGTTCTTATTATTAATGTTTGGTTACCGCGCCAGATATCACTTAAGGTTAATATTTTGTCTAAAGATAAATTATTATTATCTTGACATAAGGTTTAAGTGTATTCAAATTTATTATTATTTTGATTATCTTTTAATTAATTTAAAGAGAAATTAAGAGAAATTGATTGATTGATAATATTTTTAAGGCTTTATGTATATTGTTTAATGCAATATATGTATATATTTAATTCGGGTTTTTAGTTTTGATTATTGGTTATATATATATATATATATTGAAACAAATTAATTCATATTATGGCTATGTCTGATAATTTGATAGATTAGTTGAGATATAATGCCGTCAAAATGACTTCTTTTGTGTAGACTGGTTTGTTTAAAACACAAAGGTGATAATGTATTTCTTGTGATTCATGTGTTTATTAATGGAACCAAAGGAAAATTAATATTTGTCCAGATTTTAAGCAACACATGTGGTAATAGTATGTGACAACACTGCAATAAATTTTTCAATTTACGAT